TAATGAGATATCACTGTTCATCTATAAGAATGGCTAAAAAAAACCAGTGGAAACACTGAACACTGATAAGGATGAGGAGGAACTAGGTCACTCGTGTTGTTGATGGGAATATAAAACGGTACCACCACTCTGAAAAGTGTGACAGTTGCTTGAAAGATGCAACATGGAACTATCATACAAACCAGCAATTCCACTTCTGAGCACTTATCCCAGAGAAATGAAGATTCTGCACAGAAACTTTATTTAAAATATCCCCGTCTGGAAACAACCTAGAGGTTCTTTCAGTGGACGAGTGACGAATGTGACTGGTCCATTCATACTGTGGAATATTACTCAGCACTGAAAGTCAACACACAGTTGATACGAGCAATAACCCACATGGGTCTCCTGCAAATCATACTGAATTAAAATTCTCAGTCCCAAAATGTTGCACATTTCGTATAACTTCATTTGTGTATCATTCTTAAAATGATGAAATTTTAGAAGTGAAACACAAATTAGTGACTTCCAAGGGTTACGGAAGGGGTGGTATCACAATAAAAGATCAAGTGATCCTCGTAGGGATGGAAATGTTCTGTATCATAATTATATTAAATGGCAATACCTTTATTGTGATATTGTACCATACTTTTGCACGATGTTACCGTATAGAAAAACTGGGTAAAGGGCACATAAAATCTCTCTGTATTATTTACTACAGATGTGAATTTATAGTTATCTCAAAAGATATAATTTAAAACAACAAAAAAGTAACCACTTTTTAAAATAAAAAGTAAAGGTCACTTGTGCCAGGCTTGAAAGATCTTAGAAAGAAAGCTAAATATATCAAAACCTGGTCTTGATCAAGGAGAACCTTGAGTCGTTAAGTGGTGAGACTCTGAGTTGGAAGTGTCATTGAATGTGCTATCACAGAAGCATAGTTTTGCCTACAATCTGTACACAGTTTTAGGAGCGGGAACGGCACAGAGACCCGCATGCCACTCAGGGAAGCTCAGTACTTGTAGCAGTGCAGCAGGCAGCAACCTTTGACAATGAGGTGTCACTGTAGGAGACAAGTACCATGATCTGATCTTTGTTTCAGGAATATATTTGGTGCTTGTATAACACCCACTTTGAGCAGGGGAGAGGGAAAAGGGGAAACAACAACAACAAATAAATAAAACTGGGAACCGTGTGGTCCAGAATTGAAGAAATGGATACCGGAGATTATTCAGAGGACATAGAAACTGTCTGGTTAGGGAAAGAAATCTGAGCTGATTTCCAAGATTCTAGTCCACATTACACACAAGATTAAAGTGCCACTTCTCAGGAGGTCCCTTCCCGAGATAGGTACACATGAAAATAAAACAGATATGCGGGGAAGAGAAGTAGAGCTTGGTTTGAGACCTGAGAGATATGAGGTGATACCAGCAGTATCCAGGAGATCGTTAGAAATTTAATTCTGTTGCTAGGAGAAAGAAGTACAGTGGAAATGCAGCATTGGAAGTCTGGTGAGGTCATTTGAGTGAGAAGAACTTCAAGGCCAGACACAGGAGAATATTAGCATTCAGGTTAGGAAAATGTTGGAAGAGACCAGAGATGTAGGAGAAAAAACTAGAAGCAAATCTTGAAGTCCAGGACGGAGAATCTCAATGAAGAGATTAGACCTAGAAGAGTCCAGGACCACAAAAACATCCTCCCTGGTCAGAGAGGGGAAAAGGAAATCCAGGGCCACAGAGAGATCCCTCTGGGCCACACATGGGGGAAAAAAAAATCACATTTGTGAGACTGAGGACAGTTGTAGCCTGGAAGTTTCATGCAGATGTGAGGAGCTGAGTGTGCAGTAAATATTTAGGCTAATGAGTGGCCAGACAGATGTCACTAACCTTTTATTTTTCAATATTATTTATATTATTATTAAAATCTTTTCCACCAATTCATTTTCTTGTACCTGGGGAATTGTTTTCTAGCATCAGAGCCAGTGAGTAGTGAGTAGAAAGGCCTTTTATCAGAAATAAGTATTTGTATTGTCTAATTCTAACTCATCATCTTATATACAGCAATTATTTAAATACTCTCTTTTACTGGAAACTGAATATTGGTGAGTCAATGAAAATGTGCATTTTATCTTTGAACTAGTTTTAAATTGCAAAACTACATTATGGAGTGCATGTGTGTGTGTGAACTTTATGAAAATTATATTTGTGTTTTTCAATTGTGGATTAAACTCTTCCATTTTCTGATTTTACTGTGAATCAAAAACTTTGGTTTCACAACTTCTGGGAATACTGTGCAGTTGTAGAATATGAGATTTCAGAGGCTGAAATTAACCTGGTAGAAATTTGAATCCATCTTTTATCTTTTAGATAAAAGCCTTTGAAATCCTTTTACTGTGAAGTTATCAGCAGTCTTGATTCTCATATAACCTCATTACTAACCCAAGGATTATTCAAAATGCATGGCAAGCAATGCGCTGTGGCTGAAACTCAGTGTTTATCACTCCCACAGTCCAGTGATAAGCCACACATGGTCCACCTAGTTCTGCTTGGGAAATTTTGCCTGCTCTCCTGAACACACCCTTGGAGATCACAGATCATAGTACTTATCAAAGGCCCTCATCCAATAGGCACTGAAGAAACCAGTTCTACTTTGAACATTTCCAAAACTTATTTAACTGCGGAATCTTTTCCACATTAACATTTCATAACCCACCTCAGGGTTTTGTAAGATAAGATGTGGAATAGATATTTTTGAGCGATTGATGCCTCTGAATTGAGGTCTCTACTGCTGGAAGTAAAGGCAATATTCTCAATCTATTTTTGTCTTTATGAATCAGACTTGGTGAAGTATAAGAAAAACAATTCTTACCCATAATCTTTACTGCTCTCCCTCTCTGCCTAGAATGGCAAGAATTGTCTTATTGGGTATATAAGATTTACACATTTTCCTGAAAAAATAATTTTATCAGTTGTTGCCACTACTTTTCATTCAGTGGAATAAATTGCCATTGATAAATTAATAAGGGAATGTGTTATGGACAGAAAAGTATGAATAAAAAGTATTATCAATTTCACCAATTGTTATTTTAAGGCTTACTTAAAACAAGATAATTTATTACTTGGGAGCCAAACCTAATTTCCCCAAACTGAAACCTGGTAGTGATTTACTTATTCCATAAGAGTATGATCTTATCTGCTCAGATTTACATTTGGAGTAATAAACCTCTGGCAGCTGCTCTCAGTTGCCTGGATGAAGAGGAGACAGGAGATAAGAACATTCCTTTTTTTATTGGCCTTTAGAGCATTTAAAGTTGGGGTGGGGGTAGAAAAGGTGTACCTATTGTGGCCATAAATGTTCACCGACAGTACTACAGAGGAAACCAGTCCTCTTTAGGAGACTCGGTAAATCTCTTAGGCTACTGGCCTCTGTGTATCAAAACCTGCCAAAGGCTTTAAAAGAAGAGACCTGCATCCTCTTCATCTGAAAGGCCATCACTGCAACTTGAAAATAGTCTAGGACTTTGGGAGAATCAGTGCCAGGTATAAAATGTTCAGCTCTTCACTAGCAGAGTGACCTCACCCTACTGGCAGTGAGTCCCATAGGTCCCCGAGTACGCTCAAGACTGCCTTAACCTGATTGCAATGAACAGAAAAACTCCAGCTTTGGTGCAGTGTGGAGACAGCATGTAGGGGAGGGTGTTGGCCCTGCTCTGCCCAGGCATGCCCACCGCAGCGTAACCCTTAGCCTCAATCAGAGGTCATTCAGGGTCCCTGTCAGGCACGGGTGTCTATGAAATCTAGTAAAATCCCTGAGTTTTATGACTCCCAAGTGTGTCAATGTGGTCCTTATTAGCTCATTCTCAGGACCTCAAATTCTTAAGCTTTCTTCTTTGAACATTAGCACTTTAGTTAAAGACTGCCAAAAACGTGACAGACTCTAGTAGGAGTTTTTATTACCTAATAAATAATATCACAGGAGGTCATAATTCCATATTAGCCACTAAATATCCAAAATGTATAAAGCGTGCAAAGTTGGGTCCAAGATATGGATGAAAAATAGCTCAAGTGACAGTTCTAAAGAATTATTCATTTTCTTTTTTAATGTGAAAATGGAGCAGGAACATTCTCCTAAATCCCAGGCTTACAGAGCTGAATGCTGCCTGGAGGCCTTAAAGCATTACATTGACAAAGCCATTTTTCTTACTTTTTAAAATTATCACTAAAACAATTCTCTGTGGAATTTTGGAAGACATTGCAAGCTTTCAGACCCATAAGACATAGGAAGGTCTCTGTTAACCTCCATCATGGTCATCATCCGCCACCCCAGGGAGACACTGAAGTCACACTAGGAGAGACAAAGCTCCTTAGTGTTGGGGCGCCAGCCTTGTTAGCTTAGTCCTCTTCCCAAGTGCGGCCTAGGATCAAGCTATGCTCATTGTCAAGAAGTTCTTTCTTTCAGACAATGCCATCTTCTCCAGATAAAAGGAATCCATTTCTGCCCTTGTGTGGGAATACCTGACTTATGACTCACACACACACACACACACACACACACACACACCCAGCTTTATTGTAGTCTTCCATTTCTAGCCATTGTTATGTACCTTTTTTTTTTTCTTTTTGGCTTTTGCTCTTTGAACTTTTTCACTTTTCCTTCTTCCTGAAAATTGCCATGGGAGCTCACCTCCTATATCAGCCCTCCAAATCGTTCATCTGCCCAAAATAAAAATCAGGACAGTGGCAAATTTTGTGAAAAGGCAAAGAGTGATATCACTGTATCTTGCTGTCTGGGGATCATGATGGGCAGACAGTTCCTTTCCCTGGAAGACATCTTCTTACTACGGCAAAGTGGAGCTTTCCAAGGAGATCTCTGCTGTTGGACATTTGCTTGTGGCACTGTACTTCCTATATGCTATTAGACTTTTGTTGGCATTGGAGTGTCCACACTCCTGTTGTGTTCCTTTTAGGTAGATTGGGCTAACATTTCCTATCTTAATTAAAGCATATTTTCTCTGTTGACAGAGACTCGATATTGCTACACTCAACACACAATGGAAGTCACAGGAAACAGCATCTCTGTCACCAAACGCTGTGTCCCATTGGAAGAATGCTTGTCCACTGGCTGCAGAGACTCAGAGCATGAAGGCCACAAGGTCTGGGCAACAGAGCAAGTGACAGTACAGCATAGTCAGCCTCCTTCCACTTCAGGTGGCTGACAGTGCTCATGAGCAGATTTTCACCCCACCCCCACATAGGCTGCCTTTTGTTTGTCTTCACAGCATTGTAAAAAGACACTTCCTTTCTTGCATTCTGCACAAGAATGAAAGTATATATGAGGCCATAGAACAACTGGCATAAAGTGTGTAAGCACATACCAAGAGAACATTAAGATGATCACAAGCACTGTACTTTACTCAGAAAAAAAGTCATAAAGCTACCAGACAGGAGAGGAACAGTGACCACCTCTGCCTGTGGCAGGAAACATTGCAGAAGCACCAACGACCCCTTCAGCAGAACTCTGGCCGTTTACCTTCGATAGCTCTGTAAAGTGAGGGCTCATGTCTGTACTGGGATGCAATCTAGGCAACGTTGCCATTGGCTCCTGAGTCATTAATAGGCAATGAAACACTTATCTTCCTATAGATTTGCTCCCGTTAAATGTCATTTGGTGCCTATATACAAAAGCATTCCGTGTAAAATGAACTTTGGGGGCACCCTTGAAGGAGAATATAAAAACTGAGAGAAAGGCAGCCTGACACGTGACACATGAATGCCCAGCCTCTGCGGCAATGCTGTCAGTCCTTAGCCCTTATTTGGTATCTGCCCTCTTTTGCCAGGCCACTCCTGGTGGTTTAGGGAAATGCCCTTTCTCCCTGCCCTGGAATATCACTTCCAGAAAGTCTCTTAAAAAGGCAAGCCTATAATCCCAGAACGCTGGGAGCCTAAGGCAGGAGGATTATAAATTCAAACCCAGCCGAAGCAATTTGTTGACTAAGGGAGAACCTATTTCAGAAACAAGAAAAGGAGTGGGTATGTAGCTCAGTGCAAAGGCCCTGGGTTCAATCCCTAGTATACCCCCACCAAAGGCATCCAATTTTTAAGAAACTTCTCATAAATACTAAGATTAAATTTTAAAATACAATCTTCCTGCTTTTTCCTTGCTTGAAATATGAATGGTAAAACCAAGGTTATTACCTTTCCCCTCTAGCAAACAGGGCTATGTCTGCAGGCATTGCCAAGGAGAGAAGTTATATCATAGGTTCATATCATACATGTAGTAAGTGATAGGGACAGAATTCAAACTCGTTTCTCATCCCCAGTCTCCCTTCTCAACATTGTACCATCTTCCCATTCAGAGATATCCAGACTCAAAATCTCTGCAGATAATGACTGTCTAGGATATTGAATCATCTGGATCTTATTAAAAAGGAGATTCTGAATCTCTAAGTCTGGGGCTAGGGTTGAGATTCTGCATTTCTAACATGATCCTAGCTCAAATTGAGCCTGCTGCTATGTGCTTTGTGTAGTCCTAGCCTAAAATTTCTGTACGTAACTCTTGGTTTATTTCTATCTTATGATTCAGGCCTGAAGCAGTAGAAATTAGGATTCATTGCATAAATGAAAAGCTCTTCAAACATTAGCTTACTCATGAGAATGGAGATAATTATGCTGATAGTGATAATGAAAATAAATATTCAAGTTTAAATTGTGTGAGTTGTTGCCATTTCATTTTTACTGTTAAAACTCGGCAGAGGAAGATTTACCCTGATAGTTTCCTCCAGTTGTCAGAAAGAGCCTGTATGAGCCGGGGTTGTAGCTCTGTGGCGCCACACCTCCCTGGCAAGTGCAAGGTCCTGAGTTTGATCCCTGGTACTGGCGGAAGGAGCCTGTCTGAAAAAGGAAGGCAAAGTTTCAGACTCTCCCCTTCACAAGAATACCTGAGAACTGGGAGGGATGCAAAGCTTTGTAAGACCCATATGGTGGGATTTCAGAAACAGAATCCCGATTCCTTGACATTTAGCTTGAAGAATTTCATTTTGAGCATGTTGCTTCTAGATGGACTGTTGTTCCACCCTTCCTAAATGCAGGGTTGATGTTTCCTTGTAGAACAGATCATTTTCATTTCAGTCTTGCCATGAGGGAGACAGGCCCCGCCCCCCCCCAGCCTCCTTCCAAGACCTGCTGGCTTCTCATTGTCCCCTTTTCTCCTCTTCTTTTCTTTCAGGTCTGCACCTCCTGCTGCGAAGGAAATATCTGTAACTTGCCACTCCCTCGAAATGAAACTGATGCCACATTTGCCACGACGTCCCCTATAAATCAGACAAATGGACACCCACACTGCATGTCGGTGATTGTGTCCTGCTTGTGGGTGTGGTTAGGACTCACATTATAGCAGCTCAACAGTGCCATATTAGCAATGATCTTTGGGATCTTGATGATCCAGTCATGCACGAGTCATTGGCCAGACAGTAATTCCACATATGAGACCACTGCACTCATGAACATTACTACAGCCAGGCGTTGGCATTACCATGAAGAACAAGCATCATTCCAATGTTGTCATTTCGAGTCAACCCAAGAACCCATCAAAATTAGCCTGCCCACAACGTAGACCCTGAGTTCTATACCACACACCTTTGTTTTCACCCCACAAAATAGTTATTTCTTATTGTGATCTGAGGTTCTTGGTTTAGAATTTGTGCATGAGCTGCAGGAGGTCCTAGAATCCTTTGAGATGTTAGAAATATGTTATATCGATTTTTTTTTACAAGAAAGATAACCACTGGTTTAATTACAATGATTTATTCCCTTATAGCTTCAGAACTTTAAAACTACAAACCCCAAAGGAATGGGCTATTTCCTTTGAGATTCTGACTGAGTCCCTGGAAGAAGAGTAAGCAGTTTGCTCAATTTAATTTTCCCAGCCTTCACCTTTCATTGCTAAGAATCATATTTTCTGTTTCATGTGGAAGATTAAAAGGATATGGTAAAATCTTGGTGTATTTGTTGGGATGGCTAGAGAAGGATTTTCCCCAACTTAAGGAAACCAACATCCATAAAGTAGCTATGTTTATCCCTTCGTGTAACTGGTGAGATTGGCTTTGACATGTGACCTAATCATGCTGTATGAGAACCTCCATTCCACCTGCACCATTGGTGTACAGAGAGTCCCAAAAGACCATGGAGTTATTTTCTCCAGGTGTTGGGTGCTATTCTGGCATGGGTAATCTAGACAGAGCCTTCAGGAATGAAAGGCAGAATATGGAGGTTAGTCCAAGTTCATTTTGAAGGCCCAGAAGTGGTTCCTCCAGTTTATGCCTCCATTTGCAGTACTCACTGTCAAAGAGCCCTCTCCTTCCAAATCCCTAGTGACATTAGGGTTCTGCATTAAATTCTCTCTGGACCAATAGAGAAATACAGCATAACATAGTAGGATGGAAAAAAAGGTAGTTGTAAGACTAGTAAGGAAACACAATGGTAAATTTTTATTTCTTTTAGATACTGCTTTTAAAGTAAAGGATAAAATTCACCTTCCTATATTCCTGGCACCTAAAGTGATAATTTTTCTTCTTTCTTGTAAATCCTTTAAACAATATTTATTTTTGTATGGTATAACTGGAACCTAAAATATATTCTAAATATTCTTTATTCTGAACAAAATGATCAAATTAGAATAGCTATTTTTCAACTGGTAGAGGTAGAGATTGTAATATATGTTTATGGAATGTTATCTGTAACACCAAGGTTGTGGGCAAGAGTCATATGTTTACCTCAAGGATTTTGCTAATGGCTTTCTCAGTGGTATTATTTGAGAAGTATTCAAGTGGAGACCATCACTGGTCAGAATTTCTGGGCGAGGCTATAAGGTATCTTCCCACAGATCTCAGTGGAGCCATGGCTGATAAAGAAGTCAGTTTTGTTGGTCTCCATCTGCCCTGCACAGGAAACCATCCCTGGCTCATAGAATGAGACCCCTTCAGGGATCAAATAGGAAATAACATCAGTCACTCTGATTAAGAGTAGTCTAAATTGTGTCACATAGCCTTAATGCAGAGTCTGGCAGGCTTATTAATTTGTTACTGATAATTGGGGTTGGGAGAGTAAACAGAGAGAAAGCAAGATATTTATTTAGCACCACCTATGTGCCAGGCACTAGGCTAAGCACTTTACATAGTTACATATAATCCCTACGAGAACTCCATAAGGAATATTATTAGCATTTACAATTCACAAATGTAGGTACTGAGGCTCAAAGAAGCTCAATAAATGAAACCCTTTCCTTCAGATATAGATGATGTGAGATGAAGCAGGATTGAAAAGGCAAGGAAAGTGGAGTTACCCTTACAGGAAAACTTCCAGGCCTCGCTTCATGGAAATTTGTTCATCTTATCACGTGGAGCTTATCTCATCCTGCCTGTGCAGGGTGCCATCTGCATGTGTTCCCCAGTTGATGTCTTTGCTTTGGAAAGTGAGGGTATAGCCTTTTCATTTATACCTCTTGCTAAAGGAGGAGATAGTTGATATTGCATCAGAAGATGCTGTAAGACAGTGGTGATTTGATGTTGTACATATTCACAAGTACCATCTTTGTGCATGGTCACACTCCACTGAATGTAATTCTGAACAGGAGATGAGAAGGTGACTACACCAAAGCCTCCCTGGCAGGGGATGGGGTCAGGTCAGAAGCTGCACCACCCAGGGTGCTAATGCAAACTGCACAGATGTGCTGCATGCATCCCAATGAAATGGTTTGTTCACTGTCCCTGGCCTCCAGGAACCAAGAAAGGGCCATTCGTGTGAAAAATCCAGGGCCGATTGGCCATCTGACTTTTCTACCACATTAAACTTTCCTTTAAATCTCACCATTGGTGACAGCTTGACGTGCAAAGAGCCATGATGTGTATATTAACCTATGTGTCACATATTTATTTTTAGACTCCCCTCAACATTCATGTAAAGACATTAATGCCTAAATGTAAATATTGTACATTTTGTAAATCAATTAATAAATGTTTTAAGTGTACCTCACCAGGCTTCTTCCTGCAAATGCATATGTAAATCAATGATTAAGACACTTGGGTTCTGTACAAGGCAGTGGGCCTTCCTTCCAGGAGCTTAGTTTCTGGTTCTACAGGAAAAAAAAAATACATGCATGTAAAGATGTAAGATGATTCACCCATGCCATGTGATTCATACAGATTGTAAGTGCTGTAGAAAAAAAATCAAAGAAGAAAAGATTATCAAACTTTTCAGGGTCGTGGATTTAGCTCAGCAGTTTGGTGGCCTGCCTTGCAAGTGCAAGGACCTGAGTTCAATCCCCGGTACAAACAAAACAAAACAAACAAACAAAAAAAACCTTTTCAATCAGGCCTACAATTTTCTTTGAACATTTCATTGTTAAATCAGGAAATATAAAGATATATTATATGTGATCATGTCTATAAATAGATCTATTTTCATTTATTTCTTTCTATTTATTATTTGGTAGTGCTAGAAAGTAAACCCAGGGCCTCTAGCATGCTAAGCAAATGCTTACCACTGAACTAAGTCCTTAGTAAATTTTATTTTTAAATCTTATTTTATTCTTGGTGTGAATTATGTTAATGATAAAACAAAAAGCATTTTTTCTTGGAGTGTTTCTCCAGCAACTAGAAACAAAGGCTGAAATAGTATATGTCATTTTAATCTATGCAACAGTTTTATTATATTTTTCTTAGTAAGACAGTAGATTGAAAATAACCTTGGTAAATTTCATTTATTTGTGACTCTTGGCTATTCTTTAATACCCTGTAATTTGAAGTTTCCAGGAAAAAACATCTTTTTTCCAAAGTTAGAGGCTAATAAATGATTTTTCAAAATCCTCTTTTCTATTCTCCTAATAGCAACTATGGTGTTTATATATGATTTTATCTTTAAACACTTACATAATACATTGCTTCAGTTGTTCAACATGACTTCATTCACAATTTTGATAACTATAGCTTCAGAATGGTTAAGCAAAGTCTCCCTGGTTGTTTATACTAAAAGGACTATGATTACTACACTTGATTTTAGCCAAAAGGCCAAGAAGCAATAGGGCTATGATTCCTGATCCACAACTCTTCTCCACACATACTTGTCATCCAGATGACCTGCATGATGGTCCTAACCTTCTCTGACATTTTTACTAAAAATGTTTCTCAGGCAACAAAGTTAGAGATGAGCGGGACTTAGCAAACATCTTGTCCATCCTCTTTATTTTATATAGGAGGGAAAAGAACACCACAGATCTCAGGTTATTAGCCTATGAGAACATCATATTACTGTTGTCAGGTGTCATCTTTGATGACCAAAGTAATGAAGATGTGTAGATGTGTGGGTGATAGGATATGATTTCCAGGTGCCTGTGATTCACTATCATAATGGGATGGCCCAGTGGGATGAGGCCCATCATGGTAGCAAAGGGAAGAGAATAAAAAGCTAGAGGGGGCAAACTTTTGCCAAGAAAGCAAGCTAGCCCAATGGGAAAAAAAGTACTCATTCTAACTCATGAAAAAAACATTGTGAGAAATAATCACTTTCAGACTCATGGCCTTAAAACAGCAGAGTCATTTTTTTAAATCAGAAAGTCTCCATATTGAAAAACACTTTTCTCAGGGGATTATTCCACGGCTAGCGTCAGAAACTGACCCTTCCAAACGCTGTTATCCCTGCACCCAGGCCTCCACTGAAGTCCCTCTAGGAAGGTGACAGGGATCGTGTCCAAGTGGGGAAAGCATGTCTATAAAGAAACTCTGTTGAGTCTGGGAAGTGAGCAAAGTACCATCAGAATGCAGCAATGATGCAAAAGCAAGGCCTTTTAAAAGTCATACTCCACTAAATCCCTTCATCTCTGAGAAGAATTCAAAACTCAACTCGCTCTATCATTTACAGAGAAGCATGACTCTTGGATCCGTGATGTCTGCAGCAGTATGAGCACATCTGTCTATCTTCTCACTGCTGCTCAAGGGGCGGTGGCTCCTGCTGCAGCTTCACAGCTGCCTGCTGGCTAGGCTTTGCCCCCACCCAGTCTCTGCCAGCACTAAACCGGGACGGTGAGCAACGTGGGACCCGCATCACAGGGACATGAGAAGACAAGCTGACTGAGGAGAGGGATTATGCTTGAATTGTTTTGTACTAAGGTGCTCTGGGTGAGAGGAGCTGTGAAGACCTCAGCATTGGGAGAGGACATTTTTGGGCTCATTCATGACTCATCCTGGCTTGGCTCTGGCACATGTCAATGCTGGGATTATTCCTACCTTCAAAGTCTTTCAAATTCTTAAGGAGTTGGGCCCACCCCTGACTTTACGATGTTTAACTAATTGATAACCATATATATGTTTGGTCACCAACCTAAATACACAAGGTACTGGGTAGAGACACACCCTCTTTGATTTGAGACTGCCTGAGGATGACGTGAAACATGCAGTCTGATCTTCCATGAATTCACTTCCTTCAAAAGAAAACAAACAAAGAACTGAAAGGCCCATTAGGATACAGTATTTGGAACACAAGCATAGGTAGTATGTTAGCCGAGGCTATAGTAAAAGATGCTGAGAACAGAGAGAATATAGATACTAGCTTAATTTTAGCAGTGAAAGAAGACTTCCTAGGGCATGCATATTTAAGCCAAGACATGAAAAATGAATATATTAGGCTAGCTAAGAAAGTTAGCTTGTAGAACAGGCAGAAAAAGGTTTATTGATACTGAGTTTTAGGAAAGCTATAAGGTCAATCTTGGGAGAAGATGGCAATTGACCAAATTAATATACTTGAAAATGAAGTAATTCAAAATTTATTTTTGTAGACTGGTCTTTACTAAAATTGCTTCTGTAATTATAGATGCTCAACTCTAGTGGTTGTTTATCCTTTCATGTCTGCTAGGAAGTGGTTACCCATTACTATCAGGGGACTAGGGATAGAGGGAGCTTTAAAACTGATGTCTTAAACATCTCCAGGCAAAATTACTAACTTCCAGCCACTTTCATTTTAAAGAAAGCAGGACAGTATGGGTTTCTTTACAAGAACCCCAAGGTACAGAGGCAGCCTATTAGAAATTGGATTTGGGGCCGGGGATTTAGCTCAGCGGTTCGGTGGCCTGCCTTGCAAGCACAAGGACCCGAGTTCAATCCCCGGCACCAAAACAAACAAACAAAAAAAAAACAAAAGAAATCTGATTTGTACTAAGGTCCTCATTCCCTATTTAGTAGTCTTATTTACCAAACAAATATGAAAGATAAATACTTCCACAAAGTCTTAGAAGACAGGAAATTCCCTCTTTGGTCTATTGAAGTGAACATTGAACTAGTGCAGGAAATGTTTTTGAGCATGACCCTGGATACTTTCACTTTAGGATGTGTTAGTCTGGTACCTGAGGCACTTAACACACAGGAAATGGTAACACAGAAAGAACAGGGTAACTGCTGGAAGGTCCAAGACAGCAGATTGTACAAACGAATGCAGATCATAGTACTTTCTGCAAGAGAAAGTGGGGGAGAGAAGCAAGTGCTCCTCTCCTAATGGGGCACCGTCATGCTAATCCTGGGATTTGATATCCTGAGACCAAACCCCAGTGTGCCCTTGTGCCTTGGAGGCTTGAGCAGTGGATCTCAAGGCTGTCTACACATTTGGATCACTTGGGAGTTCTCAACAATAATGACCAGGCCCCATTTTTAGCAATTCTAAGATGTTCTGGGGAGTTTTCAAGCCTCAGTTTTAAAACTCCCTGCTACCCACTGTACTCCTAACGGGCAGCCCATGGCCAACAGATACAAAGCACTAACAGCCACTGAGGGTAAATAATTGTAAAAGCAGAAGCAGCTTTAATGGAACCATGACATCCAACTTGCAAGGTATATTCATGTCCACTGGGAATGGTGCCTGGAATACAGTAGGTGGATCACAAGTATTTGTTGAATAAATATACAAAATGATTTTTAAAAAATTAAGGGACCATCTCCAAGCATCAAATTAGTGATGGAGTGCGAGTTAATATCAAGATTGTCCTTCTCCAATATATTCTAGAATATTTCTGATGTATTGTCACACATTAAATTTACACCAAAATGTATAATGTTAAATGCTGTAAAACCAGCATCTCTTCCTGCTAGTAGCATAAATTGTTAAGCTCTTTTACAAAGCAGTTTGGCTGAATGTGTTCAAGACTATGTGAATGGATGTATCCTGACCCAATGATCCTACTTCTGTAAATGCCCTGAACTATAGAAACACTGCTATGAACAAATTTGTTCCTTGCAGCATTATTTGTAATTCAAAAAAATTAGGACTATGTGCGCTAGGGTAGGGGAATAGTTATGTTACTAACGCACATACAGTGGATGTGATATCATCAAATGACTGCCTTCAAATTTTCAATGTCAAATGAAAGTAGCAGCACGAATGCTGCATATTCCATGGGTCATCCTCTCTAGAAAGCAAACATGCTTGTAGAAAACAAACCAAGTACTTTCATTACTTATGTTATGGTAATAACTTTTTATTTTCCTTTAAAAATATATTCCAATTTTAATGCAGTGTGGTTATATTACTTTTGTAATGAAAAGCATAAATATAATAAACAGTTAAGACCACATAAGTTAATGGTTGTGATTACTTTAGAGGCTCCTTCTCAGTGTAGATGTTAACTCAGGGCAGGCCTCTGACTCCTGGAGCCTCTGAGGTCTAAGCCCTGACTCACTATAGTCTATTGGGAGCTTTAAACGTTGCTGATGCCTGGATCCCACCCCCCGAGCTTTAGATCATACTGGTCTTGGATTAGAAAACATGGAGGTCACAATTTTTAAAACCTCCCTTCTCCTCCCCTCCCCTCCCTCTTTGATAATGGATATTAAACCCATGGGTACTCTATCACTGAGCTATACCTCTAGCCCTTTTTATTTTTTATTTTGAGACAGGGTCTTGCTAAGTTGCCCAACTGGGACTCTAATTTGTGATCCTCTTGCCTCAGCCTCCCTCAGGGCTTCGTTAATTACAGGCATGTACTGCCACTTCTAACTAAAATTCTTTCCTTTAAAACAATTTCAGACTCACAGAAAAATCTAAGAAGATGTCAATTTTTACATTTTTCAACATTTGACTTATCCTTCTCATTTCTCTCTAATAATAGAACAATTGTTATTTCTTTTCTGAACCAATTTAGAACAATTGTAAACACTGTGTCTCTTTTCCCCTTGCTATGGTTTGGATGTAGTCTATGT